TAGTATCACTGGATCAAGTTCATTAATTTTGTTGAATTAAACTAAATAGTTAAAATTGGATTTCAAATAAATTTGTTGTTGTTGTTTAGTCGTTTAGTCATGTCCGACTCTTCGTGATCCCATGGACCAGAGCACGCCAGGCACTCCTGTCTTCCACTGCCTCCCACAGTTTGGTCAAACTCATGCTGGTAGCTTCGAGAACACTATCCAACCATCTCATCCTCTGTCGTCCCCTTCTCCTTGTGCTCTCCATCTTTCCCAACATCAGGGTCTTTTCCAGGGAGTCTTCTCTTCTCATGAGGTGGCCAAAGTATTGGAGTCTCAGCTTCAGGATCTGTCCTTCCAGTGAGCACTCAGGGCTGATTTCCTTCAGAATGGATACGTTTGATCTTCTTGCAGTCCATGGGACTCTCAAGAGTCTCCTCCAGCACCATAATTCAAAAGCATAAATTCTTCGGCGATCAGCCTTCTTTATGGTCCAGCTCTCACTTCCATACATTACTACTGGGAAAACCATAGCTTTAACTATTGTTGACAAGGTGACATCTCTGCTTAGTTGTTACTAATAAGGTAGTGGATGAGTTTATGGAACCAGTGGGGTGGTAGCCTAAAAAGCTTGGGGACCTCTGCTCTATTCTATTCTAACCTCTTCCAGCAACATGGATTAGGAGTTAAGACTGCATCTTTAGCTTACAGCTCTGATACATATATCCTTCGATTGGAAAAATGTGATGCATTATTCCTCCTGGAAATCTGGCAACCACTGACAACCTTTTGGAATGAAAAAACAACAGTGAGGAGTGAATGTTGTCACAAATGCACTTTAAATGTAGATTAATTATACACCCAGAACCTGTATTTTTTCTTCTCAGCTATATTTGAATGTTTTTCTCGGTTGTCATGTAATAGACTAATGACAGGCTTTTTAAAAAAGTGTATATATTATCTTTCTGATCTGCAGAGGGCACCAAATAGTTTTGCAGCAGAGACTTGGAGCAATGGGAATTGTAACTGTCAGTCAAAGAGGTACTTGCTCTCCAATGGTCATTGTGAGACACAGAAGATTAAGTAGGAGTGTTTTCCCCCTATTCATGAATGTATAAAACCCAATGCTCTTTTACTGTTTCTGCCCTCTTTCTCTCAGATGAATCAGGAAGAGATGCTGAGAAGTGCTTTTTAAATCTCCGCTCCAACTGCAGTCCCAGGACATGGGAGGATATCACAAGGACAGTCACTTTAAATTCAACAGGTGAATCATAAAGGGGGCTATTGTTGCCATGATTTCAACTTTCATAAATTTCTGTACCATTTGCTGTTTCATCTGATTTCACTGAAAGAGGGGGCTTTTCTTCCCCCAGCAATCCCCCAGCTGGTGGATTGAATGAAGAGGACTTTTCCCCAATCAAGTATTCCTTGATCTCATTCGATAAAGAGCACTAGAGCAATTCTGAACGATTCTCTCTTTTTACAGATGCTGTTTCCATAACCACTTGCAAAGCTGAACGCCGTCCCTTAACGATGAACACGACGGTACACTGGGCTCTAACTTTTCAGCCTGTGTTGGTTAATGCCACTGAAGAGCTCAACGATTCGATCCTTCTCGGCAGCAGGAGCGACAATGGATTCTGCGAAAAGGTGTTCATTAAAGCCGAGGTCTTCTTGACCCTGGGGATCATCAGCCTTCTGGAGAACATCCTCGTCATCCTTGCCGTGATCAAAAACGGCAACCTGCATTCCCCCATGTACTTTTTCCTCTGTAGCCTGGCTGCAGCAGACATACTGGTGAGTATGTCCAATGCCCTGGAAACCATCATGATTGCCATCCTGAGCAATGGCTATCTCATCATGGAGGACCGCTTCATCCAACATATGGACAATGTCTTTGACTCAATGATCTGCATCTCTTTGGTTGCCTCCATATGCAACCTTTTGGTCATAGCCATCGACAGGTACATTACCATTTTCTATGCACTCCGCTACCACAGCATCATGACCGTGAAGAAAGCCCTGGCTCTCATCGGGCTCATCTGGGTCGCCTGCATCTTTTGCGGCATCATGTTCATTGTCTACTACGAGAGCAAAACTGTCATTGTCTGCCTCATCACCATGTTCTTCACCATGCTTTTCCTCATGGCCTCACTGTACGTCCACATGTTTCTGTTTGCACGCCTGCACGTCAAGCGCATCGCAGCCCTCCCGGTGGACGGAGCCCCCCACCAGCGTACCTGTATGAAAGGGGCGGTCACAATCACTATTCTCCTCGGGGTCTTTGTTGTCTGCTGGGCTCCTTTCTTCCTTCATCTCATTCTGATCATCTCCTGCCCAACCAACCCACACTGTGTTTGCTACACCTCACATTTCAACACATACCTGGTCCTTATCATGTGCAACTCGGTCATTGATCCTCTCATTTATGCCTTCCGGAGCTTGGAGATGCGAAAGACATTCAAGGAAATATTCTGCTGCTGTTACGGCATAGGCTCAGGACAGTGCATGCTCTGAAGTGCTAACCTTCTGCTGTCTATGAAGGCATTAGGTGGCTAGCTTTGAGGCAAAAATCCTAAATACTGTCTGAAAGTGTCATTGCTAAGAATGATAAATGGGAAAGGCTTAAGGACTGAGGGTAACAGGGGGAGAGCTATGGTTTCCTCGCTGCTTGCCACCTTTCAGTTTTTAAAAACAAAATGGCAAAAGAGTACATTAATGCAGTATGCTTGCACTTTTGTAGGGATCACAGAAGCAAAATTGCAGTACTTGAGAGGAACTGGTGTAAATTTCAGTATCCTGGCTCCCGTGCTTCTCACTGTTGCATATAATAAAATTTCAGCAGATATACTTTCTCGTGTTGTGTGACACTGCAGGCACGGCAAGTTGCACCTGACAAGGACCTATGAAAAGGATCTATGAAACCTCTAACGTTGGCTGAAAGTTTGGCTATCCTAGCTACACATACTGGGGGGGGGGGGAGAGAGAGAGCTCCTTTGAACACAGTAAGACTTGGTTTTTAAAAGATGTACAGAACTGTGTGACATGGCTGCAGTCCCATGAACATTACGTAAGGGTAAATATTACTCTTTATGCAAAAGAATAAACCTGATTAGGATTACACTGTAAATAATATCCTTTTTACTATGTGCTAGCAAATCATAGTTGCTGCTGTTGCTGCTTTTCAGTGCATGCCATCAGCACTGTGCTAAAGGTCTTATCTGGAGCAGGCTGTATGATGAATGCCACACTTTTTTTGCCAAACGGACAAAAAGCTAGCAAGTCACAGAACTGCTGTTGAAAAAGACTTTCGATACTCACCCTTGTGTTCTCAGAACAAACATGAGAAAGATACAGTCAGGTGACAGCTTTCATTGCCTGCAAACATTCTAATTCCTTAAAGGATACCAGCAAATCTCAGATCATATGTGTTTCCTAAGAGTGTGTTCTACTGCTGCTCCGTTATTGTTTGAGAGAGAGAGAGAGAGAGAGAGAGAGAGAACAAACAGGTCTTTTCTAGCTTCTTGGATGGTGTGTTCGCTAAGCTTTCCCTGACAGTAGACTTGTTCAAAGAGTGAACACCTGTTTATTTGTACAGCTCAACTCTTTTATTGTATACATATTGTTGTACACAGGCCTGCTATTTTATGGCATGGTGGTATGTAAATATTATTTAATAAATAAATTATTGTGCACACAGGTACACGGACTGTACACTCATTGAAGGTTACATGTGAATAACTGTAGGATCATGCAGCTCATCTATTTGTGTACACAGAAGGCTTGTACACAATGAACACAGACACAAGCTGTCTCTACATGTATGCAAATGTCTGTGAGACAGAGTGCACACTTGTTCAGCTCAGCTATTTTGTACACAGGTACGCAAATTGTACACTGGTTGGATCCAATGTGTGAACACCCCTACTGAAACAAAATGCACACTTGTTGAATGTAATAAAGTTGTCTTTTAAAGCATATGAGTAAAGGGGTAAAAGGTAAAGGAGCCTTGGATGGTTAAGTCCAGTCAAAGACGACTATGGGATGTGGTACTCATCTCACTTTTCAGGCCAAGGGAGCCAGTGTTTTTCGACAGACAGCTTTCTGGGTCATGTGGCCAGCATGACTAAACTGCTTCTGGTGCAACAGGACACTGTGACGGAAGCCAGAGCGCATAGAAACACTGTTTACCTTCCCACCGCTGTGGTACCTATTTATCTACTTGCACTGGTATGCTTTTGAACTGCTAGGTTGGCAGATGCTGGGACAGAGCAACAGGAGCTCACCACCATCATGCAGATTCAAACCGCCAACTTTCTGATCAGCAAACCCAAGAGGCTCAGTAGTTTAAACCACAGCGCCACCCGCGTCCCAAGGGATATGAGTAGCAACCCCCAGTAAGGATTGAAAATGCTGTCCCTATAGCTGCTTGTTCTATGTAACAAAGTGCAGGAACAAATCCATGCTACCATGAAGGAGCATCTTCACCCCACCTCCCACATCGTTCAGCCCGAACACTGAGGTCCAGCTTCGAGGGCCTTATGGCGGTTCCCTCACTGTGAGAAGCGAGGTTGCAGGGAACCAGGCAGAGGGCCTTCTTGGTAGTGGCGCCTGCCCTGTGGAACACCCTCCCATCAGATGTCAAGGAAATAAACAACTATCTGACTTTTAGAAGACATCTGAAGGCAGCCCTGTTTAGGAAAGTTTTTAATGTTTGATGTTTTGTCATGTTTTAAATATTCTATTGGGAGCCTCCCAGAATGCCTGGTGAAACCCAGCCAGATGGGCAGGGTATTAATAATAATAAATTTTATTATTATTATTACTACTACTACTACTACTACTACTACTACTACTACTACCGAATACTTTCTGCCCCCACAAGCATGTGATAAGTGTAACATAGGAACAAAGGAATCTACCTTATACTGAGTACACTGAGTCAGATCCAGGGGTCCATCTAGCTCTATATTTTCTACATGGATTGAAAGAGTGGAGACTTCCTAGCCCCTACCTGGAGCTGCCAGGGATGAAACCTGGAACCTTCTATGTGCAAGACAAATGCTCTACCACTGAGCTATGGCCCTCCTCTAAAGGTCATTTTTTTACCTCTTCTGGACAACCTGTTCTATGTTTCCCATATTTATATAAAACATAATTGTAATGTTTAAGACAATGCATTCTTGGGACACCAACTGCATAGAGTTGCCCCTAGAGAGAACTGATGCACAGCTGATTCCAATCAGCCCCACCTTCCTACCTCCTGAGGGGGGAATTAATTTTCTGTTTTCAAATTAGAAGAAAACCCTAAGAACACTGTGATGGAAGCCAGAGCGCACAGAAATGCCATTTACCTTCCCGCCGCAGTGGTACCTATTTATCTACTTGCACTGGTGTGCTTTTGAACTGTTAGGTTGGCAGGAGCTGGGACAGAGCAATGGGAGCTCACCCTGTAATGGGGATTCGAACCGCCGACCTTCTGATCAGCAAGCCCAAGAGGCTCAGTGGTTTAGACCACAGCGCCACCCACATCCCATATTGTGGGTTGTATTCAATTTTAGTTAGGGAAGCTTTTAATATTTGATGAATTATTGTATTTTAATATTTTGTTGGAAGCTGCCCAGAGTGGCTGGGGAAACCCAGCCAGATGGGCGGGGTATAAATAAATTATTATTATTATTAGTCAAATTAGATGCACTGAAATTAATAGGTATAGGTATGACAAACTTATCTTTATTAATTGCAATGGGTCTCCTCTGAGTGAAACTTAGTTGGAATCAACTGTATTAATTTAACATGTTTATAAACTATTTCATAGCCAGAAACATAGGAGCCAACTCCTAGGGGCTGAGGTCCCTTTGCCCCCCCCACACTAAAATATTTAAAGGGGCTGCCCTCCCAAAGTTAATGAACATTGCCATTCCGCTGGTCATGTCATCGATTATGTGGGACATTATTATTATTTTCATAAATTCAGTTCTTCAGAGGGAAAGCCCACTCGAACAAACATCTACAGTAGCTACTTAAATGATAAGAGGCTAGGTACCTGTCTAATTACCTGCTAATTGATTCCAGAGGGCTGCAGCTGCAAAACTAAAAACCCTGTTGCTAGTGTAAATTAAGCACACCTCTGGAGCATGTGGTGGTACTCTCAGCAGTGCTTCTTTATTTAACAGAATTTATATGCCACGTAAACATAGATAACCTCTGAAGAGCACATTTGTGAGGGACATATATGGGGCAAGGTTTGGATAGCAGTTTCTTGTGTGGCATCAGCCTGATACCATCGAGTATTGAGTTCCACAAATACTGCAGGGCACCAATATCACTGTTTGGGGAAGGGCTGTAATTCTGTGGTAGACCACATGCTTTGATTGCAAACTGTCCTGGGTTCAATCATCAGCATCTTCAGGTAGGGCTGGGAAAGGCCTGTCTGAAACTCTGGAGAGCAGCTCATGGAGGATAAACAAGGCTTCTTTGACAATCTGAGCTCCGTATGTCCCTATTCTTAAGATTCTTTATTGCTATCCTGCTTGCTATATGCTCTGCTGGAACCCAATTGCATTTGGGGGAGTTGTCATTTTAATAACATATTTGTGGCATTCATTTCACTTGTACTTGATGTTCTCTGAAGCTCCTCTGCTGGAAAAAAGAAGACGCAATGAACTCTTGGATAAAACTGCTCTGAAATTACCTGCCAACGGTTCTGTGCTTCATATACAACATTAATGGGCATGAGCTCAATAATTGACAAGTCATTCTAGTGTGCAGGAAAAGTTTCCAGCAAGGGGTAGCTACTATTACATCCCCCTACAGCAAAGTCAATTATAGTTTTATTGGCTCTTGAGAGATCCTTACCTGGTTTGTGATTCTGAAAAACCTTTCACCACATTCCTTTCGCAATTGCTCTTACTCTCTGAAAATGTTCTTCATGAACATAGAAATTACAAATTCCTCAGGAATGGAGGTTGCTTATAATTCAAAGAGCTGTGTAGCTCTTAAGATGAAACTACATGTTGCATTAAATGTGATCATGTAATTTATGTATATGGGAGTTTTAGCAGTCATGTGGGAGGGGAAATGATCTTGGGATCACAGCACATAAGGAAGAGGGTTAACCCTTTCCCCCATGAGGCAGTCCAGGGCGGAATCTACACACATATATAAAGCGCTGTGAAAATGCTTTTTCAAAAAACGTTTTTAAAAATACATTGGATTTTGCATAGCTTACTGTCACCATCTAGTTTCACATTTGTATATTGCACTTTACAACACATTTAAAACGTTGGGGGTGGCATGCACAATACCATTGGAGTAACACATACAAAATGGCTGCAATCATTAATATATATGTACAACCCCTCTCCATAATGCCGCAAGGAAGCTTTGGTACCACACTAACAGCAAAACATCATCTCAGTTCTGGGTGGTTGGTGAAAGGTAAGTCTTTACCTGGTGAAGGCACCAGGTGGAGCTCCTTGGGGAGAGCTGTCCACAGGTGGGGAGCACATTCTCCAAGATTCCCTCAGAGTGAGGACTTGGAGAAAAGTATCAGAAGAAGATTTAAGGTTCAGGGTACATTAAAACTGGAGAGATGTTCCAGCAGTTATTGAGGTCTTTAGCTGTCAAAATTAACGCTTTGGTCAAAATCTTGGCATTTCCACCAAGTACCATTTTGGGTATATAGGAATCCACACTCTGACACTGGATTTTCTATTACTTTAACAGCAACCATGATCATAAAGCTTATATAGAGCTTGATAGCCTGAAGGAAAAAGCTGTGGGCTGCACACAGACAGGAAATTGATGTAAAAACAAAACAAACAAACAAAAAAACCCTATCTCACTGAAAACTGGCTACAATTTGAAAATAAACCCCTGGGCTTTAATTGAAGTACATGAGGTCAGGAAGGCTGGCTATTGAGCTGCTGAGATCGATGAAATCGCTGATGTTGATTTTAAGGGAAGTGCTTTCTTTTTCTTTTAAAAAGATTTCCTTGTTGATTTCTTTAAAAGTAAAAGAACTTCGTTTTTTTAATTAACAGATGTTAATTACATCACAGAGGTATCCCCACTTCCCCATTATTTCAGGAAAGCCCAGCTTAGTACATCATGAAATTCTCATTTTACACCGTCACCCAAGGAGGGCTACAGAATGCAGAACACTTGAGAGATCATTTGGAGAGTGAAAGGGCGCTCAGAAACACCTTTTGAAATTAAGGAAAGTGTAGCAAATGCCCTCCACCCTTTCCAGGAAAATTTCACTGAAACTTTCTATGATAATTTTCAAATGCAGCTTCTTTTCTTGTTAATTGATAGAGAATTTAAAAAACCAACAACAACAGCAAAGGATTCATTTTAATCTGTATGCACTTCTCCCTTTTGTCAGGACTTTCATATCACAGTTTTTCCTCAAGCTTCCCCACCTACTGCAAAGGATGGCTTCCCACAACGGCCTTAACCCCATATTCAACTTCAAATTGCTTCCATTCAGCATAATGAAAGGATAACCCAAAGCTGCTACACTTTGTTAAAAAGCATTATTTGTGACTGTCACTTCAGAGATGAAGTAGCTCAGTCACATTGTATTACTCACAGATGCTCATTCGCTGACTTGTAACTATAGTGAGGGTCTTGCACAGGGATTTTTGCATTTATTTACCTGCTGGTGTTTGTTTAGTTTTAAGTGTATCTCCAAGGAAACAGGGTTGCCCAATATAGGTATAGGGAAGAAATTCAGAGCTCATGCATACCCTCCAACATTTCTCCGATGAAAACAGGGACAGTCTAAGGAAAAGTGGGACATTCCGGGATCGATTCAGATACCGGGGCGGATTCTCTAAATCAGGGATGTCCCTGAAAAATAGGGTCTGTCTGTGTGATGTAGTGGTTAGTGTGTTAGATTGGGAGCTGGGAAAACGGGGTTCAGATTTTTATTTAGTTGGTCCATAAAATTTATACACTGCTTGATTATTTTTTAAAAACAACAACCCTCAAAGTGGTTTACAAAAGAGAAAAGAAGAGAATCAAGAAAAAATTACAATCCTATTTTAAAACATACAGGCCTGCTGCCCTTTTTTAATATAATTTTTAATAAGTTTTCCATTTTAACAATCCAATCAGATCACATTGCATATTCCAAATTGTACAAATACATCTCATATAGTCCAAATATTCTGCCAAATTATAAATTGGGGGGGGGGGGGGCTTCCCATGCTTCAAGTTCACTGGGGTTCCAATCATCTTATGTTTCTACTGCCTTGAGTTTCCAATAGTTCCTTCTTTAAATCTTCCTGTTGTTATCCTTCCTTCCTTCCTGGCCTCTGAGTTGTTTCCACAGGCGAGTTGAAATGAGCAATAATATGCTTCTGTGTGAAATTTGTATGACTCTCCTTTTTCTTTTTTTTTTGCAGCTGATAAGTCTATTGTTTGCAGTATGTCCTCACACGCTGGTGTTTATGCCAAATCAATCCAAAAGTCCTTCTCTTAGTTCCGATGAAATAAAATCTAGGCGTTTGCTCATTAATTTTCTCAGACAGGTTGCATCAAACATTAGTCTTTCAGGGGAGATTTGCCAAATCGGACTTGAAGTACAGATATGATAACAAATTAAGAGCTCGCTTCCCCAAAAACATACAGGCCTGCTCAGTGGCGTAGCGTGGGTTGTCAGCACCCGGGGCAAGGCAAGAAATTTGCGCCCCCTAACCCGTGGAGTCAGGTAGGGGCAGAGAGCTGCGAGTGCGAGCGCGCGCCCCCCCCCCCATGTTGCGCCCGGTGCGACCAGCCCCCCCTGCACCCCCCATGCTACGCCACTGGGCCTGCTGCCCTGGGGCAATTGCCTCACCATACCTCACGGGCAGGCCAGTCCTAGACCCAGACTAGCTTTCCCCTTCATGCAGACACAGCAACCCAGTGGCCATCCATCTCCTGATGGAAGCCAAAGCATGCTTCTCTCCCTTCCTGGAGTAACTCCAGTATCCCAATATAATGAATTTGTAAAAATGTGAATTGCCAGTCTCATTTTGGGAGTTTTTTCTTTTAAGAGAACTAACACGATCTCTTGCTGAGGAGAAAAGAGAAAGTAGCATG